AGTAACAAAGTTGCTAGCGTCGCCGTTATGTATTCCTTAAGAGGTGGGGCGCTGGGGGGGGCTACGCCCCCCCCAGACCCCCCCCGATAAGTTACAACAGCACCGCCGTCCCAAACGCCTTTATCAGGAAAAATTTCAGACTTATCTTGCTGTTTTTGTGTTTGTTCGGCGTTCAAGTCGTTGCCTTTTGCGTGTTTGTCTATGGAAGGACCGGTCATACATTCTGCTATGCCGCGTTGACTCACGGGCTTGACCTTCTTACGGCCCCTCATATCTATTTTATGATCGATAATACTAAGTTCTGCACACTACGGAGCAATCTGGCAGCAATGGACGTTTTTGGCTGAAGGAATGAAAATGTACGGATCGGCCTCACTTTGTTCCTTATTTCCAAAGGCCAAAAAGGCCTCTTTATTCCTTAAAAGTAATATATTACTTAAAAAAAAAACACTGTGTGTAACAACTCGGTGATTAACTCGAGTGGGACGACAAGGTCATTTGCTGACTGTCTGCTGATTGTATCGGGTTTTGTTTTGTTGGGTTTTGTTGGGTTTGCGGTTTGCAGTATTTAACATTTCAACATTTTTTACGCGATTGCAGACATAAGTTAGATTGTGTGTTGTTTTATGGCACCGTGTGATCGTATCAGAGGTGCAGCGAGCTGTCTTGACCACGTATCTATGACCCGTGCCTATGTGCCCTCCCCTCTGCCGTTAGCTAAACAGAAAGCGCATGCATGCCTGCTCAGGAGTTGCCAGCATTATCAATCACCCTGCGCCTCTTGACGACATATGTTGGAGTAGTGTCACCGTTCTGCTACAGTTCCGCTGCTACAGTTCCGCTGCTGCTGCTGCTGCTGTGCAGGGCGGTCAACGGGACTATCTCATTCATCACAGGTCAATATCAGCGCGACAACCCGGCACTCCGCCGCCCCTCGCTCACAGTTACTTACACCGCGGGGAGCACGCAGCCGGCTGGCACGTACCCCGTCAAGGTTGGCACCGTACCCCGCACTTGGTGGGTGGACACCGCCGGAAACGACGAGACCAACAGCGGACATCCGGACTCGCCGTTCAAGTCCCCAGCCAAGGCGGTGTTTGAAGCGTGGCCGGGTGATCAGATCTACCTCAAGACCGGAGTGCACCCTGGTGAGTTGTGAGTTGCTGTGGCCGCGGGGCTGGGATGGGGCTGACTGACAGCTGACGGCGGGGGTTGTTGGGGAGCATGCACGGATGGGGGATGGACGGCGGCTTCGGGACCTGGGCACACACGTACATAACCTCCTGACTGTCTTGCTTGCTGTCTGTCTAGCTTGCTGACTCTCCTTTCCGGTTTGCCGGCTCGCAGGAGGTATCGACATCACACGACCACGTCTCACATTGCGCTCCGCCCCCGGCCACTGGGCCGTCATCTCGCTGCCCATGAGCGACCCTCAGAACGCCGTTAACGTCATCACTCTGAGACCTGGGGCTGATTACGGAGTCATCTCGGTGGGTGGGTGGGTGGTGGTGGGGTGGGTGGGTGGTGGGTGGGAAGAATGTGCTGTGTATGTGTATGCCGTATGCTCGTCCGCCTCATCGTTTTCCCTTCCTGACGGCAGCCCCTCGCACTCTTCGTGTTTTCCTCCCCTCGGATTGCCTCACTCTCCAAAGGCATAACTGGCCGGTATGTGCCCCCCGGTTGGCTGCCTGTGATGTAATTGTGCCTCCTGTTTTTAGGATCTGGAGATCACAGGTGGCTTCTATTACGGCATCATGTTCTTCACGTCGTGGGAGAACTATGGCACCATGGCCGAGCGTGTGGCGCAGGGCGCGGCGCCCAGCCACTGGCGCGTACAGAATGTACGGTGAGCGGCTCAAAGGGGGCAGCTGGATTGTGGCGTGTTGTCGTACGTGCGGTACGTCATGTTGCTGGCCGCTAGATTTAAATAGAGCTTAGGGGGGATCGCGCTGGAGCAGAGCTCATACCTCCTCTTCAGTCGCTTCCGAACCAACCATTCCCACCTTTCTGCCGCCACCCCCCCCTCCCTGCCGCCGTCACCAGCATACACGACACAGGTAGCAGTGGAGTCAAGTTAACGATGAAGGCAACAAACAACACTTTTTCCAACTGCGAAATTTACAACACAGGCGCTCGGGAGCGCACCAGTGGCCATGGCATTGTGGCCTTCCAGGTGTACGACATTGCTGTACAGGACACGTATTTCCACGACATTGCTGGCGCTGCCGTGCACCTTGCCGGAGGCACCGCACGCGCACTGTTGGAACGTAACTTCGTGACACGATCCAACTTTGGATTCAACCTGGGGTTCGCAACCGAGTACGAGTATATGGACGGAATTAACAATCCTGCACTGTACGAGTCCATCAATGCCACAGGTCGGCTCGTACCCAGTGACTTTCGCCTCTGGGCTCACCCTAGAAATGTGTTGCATTACGTTGATACACGCTCTGCACGGACACACCACATCAGAAGTAAGGATCCACGAGGAACAAATGTTGCGTGAACCCGGATGGCATGGTGGATCTGAAGCAGGAGATCTGAAGCAAGATTAGTCCTGAGGGAATCACCAATGAATATCATTTATATGTGCGCTTTCTCTGCATGTTTGTCTGTCCCTCTTGCGTGCTTCACACCCTCCCTTCTTTCCCCACCGCCACCCCACCAGCCCGCAATAACATCCTGACGGCTGTCAGCCAGGCGGGGATCAACGTGTGGGCCAGCAGTGGCACCGTTCTCGCCCACAACACCATCTGGCAGGCCCAAGAGAACGCGCAGAGCTGCATCCTAATCAACTCCTACACCCACGATGATGCGCCTTCGGGCCCCTTGCTCACACGCTGCGCCAATCTCACGATCTGGGCCAACGTGCTGGTACGGTCCCCCACGGCACGCGCCGGACCCCTGCTGCAGATCCGTGCAGGCGGGTTGGACCAGGCTAGCAAGTTTGTATCCGCACACAACGTCTACTACGACCAGAGAGGTGCGTGTGCCGGGCCTGAGTGTGTGGCAATGTGTGTGGCAAGGTGTGTTGCTGTTGGCTGAGCCCCCGCTCGCCGCCCCGACCCCCCATCAGGTCTCGGCCCCGCCACCTTCCAGTGGGGCCAGGGCGCCATGCTGGAGGACGAGCGCACGGAGAGCCCCTTCGTCGGCAACGCCACAGGCTGGGCTCGACACTGCACCGTAACATTGCAGCAAGCGTACTGCGATATCAACAGCATCGAGGTCGATCCAAAGCTCGACTCCAACTTCACACCGCTAGTATGCAGCCCTGCCAAGGCCCGGGCAGCGCGCACACTGCCAGACGGCGGCGCTGCGCTGGTGTTGGACGATTTTAGCGGCCGCCAGCGACCCGCCGTGGGTCTGTTTGACGCAGGGGCAGTGCAGTCAAACGCCGCAGGTGCCGCCAAGTCACTGCCACCTGTGCCGGCCGCAATCGCCAACAGCAGTACTGCGCCGTACATGGGCATCGGCTTGGGCCCTGTGTACGACAAAAACTGGCCGTACTTGTACTGGGCGGGACGGACGTGCAAGGACCTGTACGTGGATGCCGTCAGCGGCCAGGATAACCAGGTGTTCAACTACGACTCGAATTACACGTACCCCTTCAAGACGGTCGGGGCGGCGCTTGTGGCTGCGAACCAGTGCGACCGCATCCTGCTGAAGGGTGGCCAAAACCACACAGGAGGCTTCGGGATCTTCAGACCCAATGTAAGATCGTGTGCTTTGTGGGGATTGTGGGGGATTGTGGGGATTGTGGAAATTGCGGGAAATAGTTATGTTCAAGAACCCCCGTTAGCAGCCCGTGGGGGACCGCAGCTGCTTTGTCCGACCACCCTCGACATGGGCCCTCTGGGAGATGGCTCCGGGTCCTGGCTGGTCCGGGTAATAGCCTAAAATGCGCAATAGAGCTGTTGTCCTTCATCGATTGTAATCCGCACCACTGCAGGCATTATTCCGCATGCCGTGGGCCCAGTACAGCCTCTATTATGTGTGTATATATATGTGTGAGTGTGCATGCGTTTCACCTGCTGGAGTTGCGTTACTCTCCGAAGGGATAACCTGGGGGCCCCATTCATACCTGGAGCCCTGATGAGGGGCCCCCAAGGGCCGGTCTATTATGAGCCTGGCGGCGGCCGCAGAGCCACCACACACATGCCCTGCCCACGACGTTTTTATCCGTGCCTGCAGGTTACCATTATCACGAACCCAGCCGACCTGCCAATGTCCCGAGCGACCGTTGTGTGCTCGTCCGCCACCGGCGCCAACCCCTGCATCCGTACGGGAGGAGGACTGTACGGCGGCGCCGCCGCCATCAACCTCGCAAACTTTGACGTGGTCATGTCGGGCGGTGCGTCCGGCAGCTGCATCTTCTTGAATGAAGGAGCCGGCAGCGGCACAAGCGCATACTGGGCTTTTTATCTGGCGGCGAGGGGAAAGCAGCCCACCTTGTCGTACATTCAGGTACGGCATGTATGGTACATAGCGCATGGCAGCCTTAGCGCAAGAAGTGCATTCATTCCCAGCTTGCAGCAGATATATCGCAGTACAGTGGGGCGCTGTTATATCCAGCAACGAAGCTTTTTGTCGGTAGCTGCTGGGGTGCCATTGGTCAAAAGATGAGATGTGCGCTGTCCGAGGGCGGCCGAGAGCGGAAACCACCGCAATCGACAACACGTATGGCCAACACGGCTGAATGCCGAGCAACAGCTAGAAGGACAGTCACGATGGCCCCTTGATTGATATCCGCCGATGGATGAATGGCCCCGCCCACTGCGTGATGACCCCCCGCCCACTTCGCCTGCCCACCTGCCCACCTGCCCACCTGCCCACCTGCTGGTCACACCCTGTCAGCTGCTAACCTACCCACCCGCCCATTTGGTACCAAATAATTCCTTTCTGCGGGGGCCCGGTACAGAACCTGACCCTGACCGACTGCGGGCTTCACGGCATCAAACTGAGTACCTTTGTCAAAGGACTGGTCATCCAGAATGTGACGATCACTCGGCCCAAGGGAACCGGCATCGAGGTCCGCGGCGGCGCAGACCTGACCCTCCAGGCCAACACCGTCCTCAGTCCGGCCGATACGGGCATCCGACTGGGGGGCGGGGTCAGGAACGTGCTTGTGGAGAAAAACTTGATCAAGTAAGGCGCGGGACGTGAGACGTGTGTGTCTGTGTGTTTGTGTGTGTGTGTGTGTGTGTGTGTTTCGTCGCCTCGCGCCCTGCCTTCGGCTGCGGTACGCACGCTAGTAAGGAAAGTATTTAACCCCAGCCGAAGCCGGGCATGTGGAAAGCACTACTTAGGGAATTGAGGGGCATTCCTGCTCCTGTCGACACTGCCGGGTAGTGCTGGGCGCCCTAGGTGGGCTGCGGTAGGGGGTGGTGTGGCGCGGCTGTCCTAGGCGGCGAGACCTTTGGGCCCTATGGGCGGTGGTGCCACGTGTAATGTACGTCTTCCTCTAAGCTCCCGGGGGTGGGTGGCGCTGGGGTTTTTCGGCTTTCCGCTGGGGTTTTCCTGCACACCCAAAGCAACCCCGCTGGCCCCACCGGCCCCCATGCTCCTCAAGCGCATGTCGGATGTCACCCATTTCCCGAATCATCTGCTCATCCTGCCGCCCTATACCATCGCACCCGCATCCACAGCCGCAAATGCACCCTTCCTCTTTTTATACTGGCAGGAACTTTGGCGGTCGCGGGATCCTGCTGGGCAGCGACAACACCGAGGTGATGTACATGGACGTGGACTGGGCGCGAAGCAACGGCGGCGACTGGCACGACAACATCAACACCACAGTGCGCAAGTGTGTGCATACGGACCGGGGGACCACCGGGGGTACCCTGTTGCTGCTGCTGCTGCTACCACTGTTGATGGTACTAGTGTTGATGGTACTAGTGTTGATGGTACTAGTGTTGATGGTACTGCTGTTGCCTGTACTAATGCTGCTGGTACTGCTACTACTACTGCTGCTGTAAGCGGACCTGTGGTGACTTTTGCTTGCTGGTTTCTGCACATCACATGCACACAACATTGCATGTTAAGGTTAGAACCATGGCCTTTTGGTTGCACTTTTGGTAAATTGCTTGCTTCATGCAACGCCCAAACTTATGCCCTCCCTTCCTTGTCCTGGCGGCAACAACTAAACACTAAACCCAACGCGCTCACACACACACACCGGTGCAACTGCCCCCGCAGCAACATCCTGGACGGCGGCGCGGGTGCGGGTGTGGCCTTCTACTCCGCCCGCGACGCTGTCGTGGTGCATAACACGTTACTGGGCGTGGCCGCCTCCATGCAGGCTGGGGTGCTGCTGTCCGTCAGCCCCAAGCAGCTAGGCCCCACACTCGCCGTCGGGCCGCCCAATACCAACATCACCTTTCGCAACAACATCGTCACGCTGCGAGGCCCAGCCAGCGCCCGCCTAATGGTGGAGGCGAGGATCCTCCAAGGTTCGATTGCCAACAAGCAGTTGGTCGCCACCCCGCCGAACGGCACGTGCCCTGCAAGCGGTGCTGGTGCAATAGGCCGTCGAATCCTCAGAATGGCGTTGCCCGATGACGACGACGACGGCGACAACGGCGCTGCTGCAAGTGTTCGAGTTCAGGTCCGGCCGGCCACCGAGAGCGGCGGTGGCGGTGGCATGGCCTGGCGGGCATGGCGCCAGCAGCAGCGGCGGCAACTGGCGTCGTTTGCCGATGCCTATTTGAGCGCACCGGGGGAGGCGGGCCGCAACCCCGACGGCTCATGTCCCATCTTCCCGCCAGACAACGCCTGGCACCAGGACGTGAGCTCACTGCCCGTACACCCCGACAGTGACACCATCAAGAGCAACATCGGCGGCGGGGGCGTGCATCCAGACTTTGGCGGCGGTTACACGCTCAACGGTCAACGGATTCTGTACGGAATTCCCTTTGTGGTGGTTGACAGCAGCAAGGGCACGCCCCTAGTGCCGGTAAGCAGAGCATGAGATGAATTCTGTATCTATATGGGATACGTTGACGACATTTTGTGAAGTGCTTTTCCTTCCTGAAGCGCATTTACGGAGCACAAGGGAGGTCTCACTCGAAAGTTGTGGCAGTTGATGAGTGCGGCTGCGACCCCTGGGCTTGTACCGTTGCCATACAATAGGGCGTATGCCGCTGCGGGTTTGGGGCTAGGGGATATTACACATCCAACGGGCCAGATTCCGCCAGCATTCGTTTTTCGATTAGGCATCCACCGAGGTAAGGTCGGCCAGTCCACGTGTCGCTGGCTGAAGTGAGGTGCCGGGAGGGTGGTTTCGGAGATGAACCAGATTGACATGCCTGAGAGAGGAAAACTGCTCAATGCGGGCGCCCCGTATGCCTGAGCATGACTGAATGCGCTTTGGTCACCGTAACCTGCCAAAAGCTCTTCAAAGTCGCCTCAATCGGCTTTTTGTTTATTTGTTTATTTGTTTTTGTGGCACAACTTGTTTTGAACAGATTGACATCGACCCGGTCACCGGCTACCCCGACGAGTCCGACACGGTTCCCGGCGGCTACCCCTTCCCGCCCAACGCCCCCGTCGAGGGGGCCTACCCTAACTGTCCGGGCACCCCCTGCGGCGGCGACCGCCACGTGCTGGTTGTGGACAATGCCACGTGTCTGCTGTACGAGACCTATAGAAGGTACGGCACGCCGGGTTGCCGGAAGCTAGCAAGCACGTCAGTACGTGCTAAGCACAAAGCGCTTCAGTACCCACTTGGCCACTAACCTGGGCCACGTTTTTACCCGCGGGCGATCCCTGGTATTGCTGCCACCTACATACCAATGCAATTGCGAGGGAGGTTTATTATTTGTCAGCTTTAGCCAGGACTTTTACACAGAGCACACCTTCTGAGGCTGTCCGTATTTTGTGGTGCCGTACTTTTGTCCGTACTATGTGTACAGCTTCCCGCCGAATGTGACGGGCACGGGCAAGTGGCGCGCTGACATCGTGGCTCGGTTCAACCTTTCCCGCAACGCCGTGGGCCGGCCGCTGGGCTGGACTTCAGCCGACGCTGCCGGTCTGCCCATTATGCCTGGCCTCGTTAAGTGGGAGGAGGTGGTGGTCAAGGGTGTCATTGACCACGCAATCCGTTTCACTGGACCCAACTCGCGCCGCGCTTACGCGCCGCCCGCCACCCACTTCGCCGCTGCCGGTTATAGCGGCCCCGACGCGCCGTACATGGGCTTGAGGGTGCGCCTCAACGCCAGCTTCGACTGCAGTCCGCTGGCGGCAGCAGCGCGCGTGTTTTGTACTGCACTTAAGAAGTACGGCGGCATCTTTGCTGATAATGGCAGTCCCTGGTATTTCTCAGGTGCGTCAATCCGAAGCCCTAGGTTTGAGAATGAGTGACGTAACAGGCATGAATCTGACTGGATTGCCAGTGCTGCATTTGGATGTGCGTGTGTGTGTGTGTGTGTGTGCGCGTGTGCTTGTGTGTGTGTGTGTGTGTGTGTCTGTGTGGTCTGTATGTCTGTACATGTTTGTGTGTGCATTCAAACGTGTCTTGCCTACGACTTAAGGGTCGTGTATCTGTTATTCCTTTCCGCTGACAAAAAGAAGCAAAATCCCATTCTATTTCTCCTACATCCTCCCCTGTCTCCCATTCCAAGATGTGTTGACCTCCTCTGTGGGACATGTTGACCCAAATCGGTTGACTCGGGACTCACACTCGCATTCGCATTCGCACTCGCACTGTACGGCACCCGTCTATCTAAGGTTATTCGAAGGGCTGTTTGTTGACACGTGCAGGCGAGGCGACATCTAAATGGGACGCAGTCCTCAGCCAGTTGAGCGATATCTCCAAGATTCCCTCCTCAGCTCTGGAAGTACTCGACACTGGGTGCCTGTGCCTGGATGCAGGCTGCACCATCGCAGAGTGCAATGGGGTGAGTGGTGCGTCGTACATTCGGGTCGTGTAGGTCGGTAGGTATGTACGAACAAGGTGTAAAAATATAAAGGCCTGCACGAGCTCTGTCCCTCAAGATCGAGGCACAACGCCTACTACTACTCGTGCGTCACCAGGTCCTCCACTCGTTGATTGCTACGACTTGTTGAGCGGGTTCCATATCTTTTACTTTCATTTGATGTCCATCTGCCCCTTTTTTCCTCATGTAACTCGTACGACACTCCTGTGCCGTACTTTTTTCATACAGATCACAGACGTAGATCCCAACTCGCTGCCTATCTACACCGCCATCTCCTCACCGAGCGATCTCTCCTTCGCCAACAACATCTACTTCAAGGCGGCCGACGGCAGCAGCAGCAGCAGCAGCAGCAGCAGCGGCAGCCCCCCCGGGCGCTATGTGGATCGCCGGGTGCCACCAGCAGGGTACGACGGTGGCCTGGCGGGCTGGAAGTCGTACATCAGCGGCGACGCCGGCAGCGTAGAGTCAGATCCGCTGCTAGACGCCGCTACCTACACCCCCCTTCCCGGCAGCCCCGCAAAGGCCGCCGTGCCCAGGCTGGCCATGGTGGATGTGGACTTTTACAACGTGTCTCGGGGCCCTATGGGCGGACTGACGGATGCAGGTGCCGTGATTGGCCGTACCTAGCCGTACGAAGCTAATCGCAGGTAGTGAACATATGATTAGGAAAACATATCAAACGGTGAATTCGTGCGTGTATAGCAGGTATAGAGAGTTTGCGGGTCGAGCACGCAAGAGTACTTGCACGGTAGTACAACCGTACTTCAGATGTGGCTTATACGAGCCGCCACTTGTAAGTGTTAGTGGCCGGCTGGTCAAGGAGTAGCAGCAGCAGCAATAGTACGAGAATAGTAGTACGACGATAATAGTATTTATTCGTCTCATGGGTATCAGACGCTGCTGCGTGTGTGCAACGCAGTGGAGGTATTGATGTGTGTGTATGTATGTGTGTGTCTCGGGGGGGAAATGGACATAAGGAGCTGCTGCAGCACGCAAGCGTGTTCATGGCAATGCGAGGCCAGGAGTTGCGGCCCAAGGGGCCCGGGGCCGGCATTGGTGTCATGAAGGGAAGATTGACAGCCGTTGAGCAAGCGGCAGATGGGGAACATTCAAGTGCGGGAAGCACTTGTGGACTATCGGATTCAGATGTTCCAAGCCGTACATACATACAGCCGCATGGCGAATGAATGAATAAATTCGTTCGTTCATGCAACGGCAATGATAAGGTAGTGTATATATGTCCTCGACTGCATGAGTCAGCCAGCTGCACCGGATCGCTGCAACTGCTGCTGGATCTAAAATAAACAAGCAAAGCTTAATCATCGATGTGCACTTTTCGCAGGTGCAAGCTTTATTGACGTGCACTTTTTTTGGCAGGTGCATGGCTGCGGTTATTGTGTTGGGAGCTATAAAGTCTTTATGCCTGCTCGTGTAGTTCTTACGACGCGAACTTGTCACTATTACTTCTTTTGCGCGGCGCCTGCATTCGCCTGCGTCTGCACTTTATAATCAAATCATCTTAAATTATCGAATTTTAAAAGCATCTTCCAATCCAGGTTTAGAAGCTGTCAGGTTATTCATTCGACGGAAGTTATCGGCCACACAGTTTTTGATTTGCTGTCCAGCGCCGCTGTACAGCAGGATGCGTTCGGCCAGGCGGCGGTCACCTGCGGCGTTGTTGGTTGCAGTAATGTTGTAATGCGGGATGCAGTGTAGGGCCACTGTGCAGCTACTACTGCACAATGCGTCCGCACGATTATATTTCTGAGTATGGCATCAAGTCCGCCATAATTGGGGGTTTGGGTCTAGGGCTGCTAGATATCCTGTAACCGTGCCGCCGTACAACGGCGCTCTTGTACCCGCTCTTATACCCGCAGCCGCAGATCCGCACAGTACGGACGTATTACGGGGGTTGCTGATTGCGGCATATTCAGATTACATTCTGCAGCTCCTCACTGGACTCGCTCAGGCTTCCAAAAGCGAGACCGTCCACACGATATAACACCGTTGGCAGTCCGAAATCTGAAAACCTCGAGGCAGAGTTGACTAAAGAGGCCCTGTGACACCAATAAAGAGGCTATTGGAACAATGTTTCAAAAGTGCTGGACAGGGACCCTAATCCCTAAACCCTAATCCCCTTCTTGCTTAGATTTTCACTTATACATCAATGGGATGAGAGGTTTTACATGCGGTGTATTACAAGCCTGCCATGCCCTGCCCTGAGCATTAACAGCACAGTTGGCCCCCTTCCCGTCGCACTCCGCACACAGCGGTCCACGACCCCGCTTCCAACAAACACGTGTCGGACAGTGCACGCCCCTTCCCTCCCCCTTCCCTCCCCCTCCTCCCCTTTCCCTCCCCCTTCCCTCCCTCGCTCTCCCCGGGCTATTAGATATAGGCATAATACTCCTGCTGCTGCTGCTGCTCCGTGCTCCCTCGGAGCACTCCGCTTCGTTCTGAAGGTCTTGGTGGAAATGATCGTCACACGTCACGAAACACGTAGTTGGTACGACAGATGCTGAGGTGGTGTTGTGCCGGTGGTGTTGTCATTGGGTTGGTGTTCGTGATGTTGTTTACCATATTTTGCCAAGTGGGTGGGTTTTAGGGTTTTAGGGTTTTAGTGGTGAGTAAGAAGGCGAGTAGGAAAAAAACGTAGTAGTTAAGTGGGGAAGCAGAGTCCCCGGGAGCCCGGAAATCCCATAGAACCCACCCATATGGTGCTCCTTCGATTGATAATCGGCTTCTACCCTAAAACAACACCCCCAGACGTTGTAAACGCGTTTCTCTATTCCCTGTTCAAGTGCACGCGCTGACGATAAAATAAACCGACAGCAAATGGTGCAGCTGAGTAACCCACTTAAGGGAGGAACACCAAGGACCAGAGACAAACACCAAGGAGGGTAACGAACGTTTTGATGGAAGACAGGCGGATGGCACTGGATGATAGACTTGAGAGGGCGCTTGTGAGGTGATGGTGGTAGGGTGGGAAGGAGGAAAGGAAGGGCGACTTGCCGTAACCCCACATCGCACCTGGGTCCGTGCTCCTGGTACTGCTCCCGCGTGTGACACACGGCTCCGAAACCCGGATCACACGCCACCAAACTACCGCCAAACCAAACCGCGTACCGCTGCATGGCGTGACTGCGAACGTTGATGTCGATGGCCTGGGGCCAGGAGAGGTGGCCGAGGTGGCGAGGTTGTCGCGGCGGCGGAGCAAGTGGCCGAGGTGGCAGCGGTGGTGGTGGTAATGGAAAGGCGGCGGTTGAGGGGACAGGGGATCAAGCAGTGCAGGGCCGAGGCGGGATGCATGCGGAGGAAGAGCTCCGGGGCAGGTGAGCAGCCGGGAAGCACCGACAACCAACGTGGCCACCCGTGGAGGGGCCTACGACCGACGCGTACAGCCGTCATGGGGGGGGGGGGGGGCTGATGAGGAGGGTTTTCCCCCGAACCCTAAAACCCTAAGGCCCACGCTTTCCCAGTTTTCCAGGCCGGTGTGTAGCTGCTTAAGAATAATACCCACCCTCTTCCCTGCATGACAGGTGCATACGCAGGTAATTACATGAACATGCCGCCTGTGTTAACAGACAGACATGCACATACATGACAGACAGACAGACGTACATACAGACAGACATACAGACAGACATATATACAGACAGACGTACCGTGGCACCTGGCTGAAGCCGTCGCGAGGTGGCCGCCGTCAGATCCGCTGCCAGCCGCCGACCAAAGTTCTTAAACATTGTGGAGCCGCCGCTGAGTACGACGTTACCGTACAACGCACGACGAGTATCGATGGGACACGCTTGGATCACGTCATCCACCGCCTGCGTGTGTTGTACATGCGCCAGGGCGCGCAGGTAAAAGGGCGCGTACGGAAGTACTATCCGTACGGGGTACGGCACATGTATGTCCGTATATGGTAGGCAAGGTTCCTATTGCCCGTTTCCCCTCCCTGCGTCCTTCACAGCCCCCCTAGTTCCTCTTTCGGTTTGTCGGTTGTTCAGTTCGTTGGTTGGTGGATTAGTACACTGTATGAATGTGTAGGTGTATCTCTGTATGTGGGAAAGTACGGAAAAACACCTAAAAGCACGAAGGGGGATTTGGGCCCCCTGGTGGCTCAGGTTATTTCAGCACCGGGTGGCACGAGGGAAACGTGTGTGTTCGAAACCCTGTCACGACTATCACGGAGACGAAAAACGATGTGCTGGGCGGGAAAACAGCCATCGCGGGGTTGGCAGGCATGGAGGCGGTATGGTACCCAAACACCCACCCGCGGCAGCGAGGGTGTGCCCTGGGGCGCGGAGGAGCAAATCCCCGGACTGAAGAACACCTCGGGCGCCAGAAAGCGCTCGTAACCCAGCTCCACTGTGAAGTCCTGAGCAGCAGCAGCAGGAGGTTAGGGTGGGGTGGGGTGGGGGCGGTGGTGCCCGGGGCCAGGGGGAAGGAGGAGGGGAGGGGGGGAAAGACGAACCACAAACGAGTGAAGCTGCTGCCAGGGCAAGAGTGTAACAGACGTAGAACTGACCAAAAGGCGTTCTTGAAGTGCGGCGACCTCGGGATGACGTAGTGAAGAAGATGTCGGAAAAAAAACTACCTACCTAAGCCGCCAGGACTAAAAAAGCAAAGAAAGCAGTAATGCCAAGCCGTAAAGAAGTAGGTGTAGAAAAGTAGGTGTAGAGGTGTAGAGGAGGAGGGGGGGCCGGGTTGCGCCGGGGGAAGTCGGGGTGGTTCGGAGTGGTGTGGTATGTCCACGGACGGGGGGACCTTGTGTGCGTGTGTATGTGTATGCGTATGTGTATGTGTATGTGTGTGCACGTGTGTGTGTGTGTGCACGTGTGTGTATGTGTGTGTGTGAGTGAGAGGGAGGGGGTAAATGTTGGGGGTGAACATTAGGGGTGACGGCCGAAGGCGAGAGGGAGAAAAGAAATGGTGAGTGAGGGGGATATATACAGGGAAGGTGGGCGGATGCAGAGGCGCTGGGAAAGCAAGTACGACAGGTGCCATGTCGTACTTTTACGACACGAGTGTGAGTTGTGATGTTGTTCATCACAACTCAAATTATGTTAGAGCGTAACTTATAACGTAGCCACCACAAGTTATAGGGGCAGGGCAGGGCAGTGCAGGGCAGCCCCTCCAAAATACCCCCCGAGCCCCACCCACCGCCCCGGCTCGCGGGTTGTGCAGCTTCAATGTACGATGGTACTTCCCGGGATCTTTGTCGTACCGCCCAAACTCCCGCAGCATATCAGGCGCCACGTAGCAATGCCCCTCCTTGATCCGCCGACACAGCTCCAGGGACATCTCGGGAGGCACGGGCTCACCTCGCTCGCTGTACGGCAGCAATAATGGCACAGAGGCGGGGTAACGGGGAAAAAGGGGGTGGTGTGGCACGATGCGGTACGACAGCGTGTGGGTTCGTGTGTGAGCCTGGGTTTGTGGCTGCGGCACCTTACCGCAGCATCTGCTGTACGAAGCTCGTCACCGCCCTGCCGGCCAGCGGCAGGCACTTGATGGCCCCCTCCAGCACGAACCCGTCCACCACCGGAATGATGTGCGCCACCCCCTCCCCCACATCCACCACCGTGCCGGTCAGGTGCTCAGTGGCCGAGGGGGCCGAGGGGGCACCTCCTGGTGGGGTCAGGCCCAGGGCCATCTGGCGGCTCAGAGGGTGAGGGCGGGCGGGTTGGTGGGGGGGAGTGGGCTGCGCTGGGTTAGAGAGGTTAGGGGGGCTGAGATATGTGTGGTGGGGCCGGGACCTGTCTGTCTGTCTGTGTGTGTGTGTGTGTGTGTGTGTGTGTGTGTGTGTGTGTGTGTGTACGTGTGTCGGGGGAAGCGGAGGGGCAAGGATTGGGGGAGGCGGCCAGTGACTAGTGGCACAGTCGCGGTCGCCGCGACCTGCACAGGGCTGTGAACCATAACTGCTAACCGTAACTGTCACCATGACCATGACTCATCAGAAGGCCCATACCCATTTCCACATCCCCGACCAACACCCCACCCCACCCCACACCCTCGCACCTTGGCGGCGTCCCTATCCGCCCGCCCCGCTATGGCCCAGCCAGCGTACAGCGCCAGTACCGCCTGCACCCCGACGTACAGCCCCGCCACGTTGAAGGTCTCAAACATGATCTCCGCCAGCGCCTCCCGGGACTCGGGGGGGTTGAGGGGCGGCTCCGTAACCACTACACAGTGCTCCTCGGGATCCACACGCAGGTAGCTTCGGGGGGCCGAGGAGGGGCGAGGAGGGGGGTTGAGGTGGAGGGTTGCGGGAGTGTGAAGGAGGTAGGGGGAGGTAGGGGAGGTAGGGGGACGGTAAAGGAAGGTCAGGCCAGGTGCGTGGGCTGGGATGTTGAGATATGTCGTACGTGGGTAGCTGCACAGGTACGGATGTGGGAGGGGAAATACCCCCGGGGGTAAGGTGGGGCGTGGACGGACTGAGAGCTCCTCTCTCGTCCTCCTCCTCCTGTCGCTCCTCCTTCCCCCTCTCCGTCACCGGACCCGGATCAGTTTCCCGCGCCAGATCCAGATCCGGGCTCCAGATCCGGATCCAAATCAAGATTCAGCAATTAATCAGCCAAAATGATTAATTTCCAAATCCCCCTTGTACCCCCTTCCTCCCTTCCTCCAGCATTCTCCCCATCGTATACGATACCCACCCGCCCAATCCGAGCACCCAACTGAAACAGACACTTGTACCAGAACCGCTCCATCGCGTCCCAGTCCGCCACAACGCCATGCCGTACAGGGAACACCAGGCCGCCACCGGCGCCACCGCCAGCACCGCCGGCGGCGCTGCCGCCCACGGTGCCGGCCGCGGCACCTGGCCCTGCCGCCGCCGCTGCCAACTGCGCCGCCGCCAGCGCCTTCTCCCCAATGGTGAAGTCCAGGTCACCTAACAGAGCCCCGGAGCCGCCGCGGTAGCCAAGGGTGGAGCCAGCGCCAGCGGCGGCGGCAGCGGCGGCGGTGCCAGGGCCCAGCGCTGTGGGAATGACGAAACTGGGCTGCATGGACAAAAACGGAAGGGTTCAGGATGGGGTGTCAATAAGCAGGGGGAAGAAGGCCCGGGTATTTGTATTCGTAAGGAAATGAGATTGGTGGTGGGGCGGGGGCCGGGGATATTTGAAGGCAGAGCAGGGTGCTAGTCAGGTGCCACCGTGCAGGGGGGAGATGCGGGGAGGCGGTTTGTGTGTCTCTCCGCGCGTGGCAAATCGGCAAGGGGGAGGGCGTTTGGGTGCTTTTGCATGTGTGGAGCTGGTTTTGGGGTGTCGTTAAGGAAGTCTAGTGAAAGCATGATGCGCCTTACCTCGGCGCCGCCTGCAAAACCAAGTTTCGTGAACCCCGTGCCGCAGTCCATGACCACGGCGGGCCGATTGACGCTCCAGATGGGCTGCATCTTTAGCAACCTCTTGAGCTAAGGATACTGCCGGCTATCAGCAGGTGGCAACAGGTGTCAGACGAAACATGCCATGCTCGGGAAATGATGCCCAGGTGTCTTCCCGTTGGAAGTGGAAGATTCGGTTCAAATTTTACAAATTACTGTTGACAAAAGAATGGAAGCGTGTGTCCCGGCGTGTGCCAACTGCGGCGTTGAGACAAATGCCGCCAAAAAGCCGGAGCCTGCCAGAACCCCCTTATGCAGGCTTTCTTTCGTAAATTATACATGTATTCTATATCATTTTTTGCCGCTTGTCGTTTAACCACGGAGCTAGCACTGTCACGTCGAAGAGATAAACCTCGGCATCGACATACAGCCAAACAAAAGAGATCTCAACAAACTAAACATACGCTCTCCAAACATGACTGGTCAAAGCGTTGGACTGCGCCCGAAATCGGGAGTTGGGGCGTTGCGAGCTCCATGGTTCGTTAGTGGAGCCAACCGCTGTCACGAACATCGCATCAATCCGTAAAACGGGAACAGACAATAGAATGACGACATGACTGCAAGGATAAGGCAGATTGCGAGGTAACCTTTATAGGTCCGAGTTTCCAACAAAAACAAAACAAAGAGTGAAGGCCCTTGTCCCGAACTATCCGGTTGTAAACTGGTTGGTAAACTTTACGACATTAGGGGCTACGCCCCGAACTACATACAAGCCAACAAGTCCGTTGAGCGTAACATGTGCACTGGTTGTCCCCCCTTCGGTTCCTTCCCTTTTTGTTCATCCCCTAAAAGGGAACTAAAGGGGACGGAGGGGTTCCCCTTTAGCTCAGCAAAGTCATCAGGGCCTCACCCTAGGCTTCACCACGGCAACTCCGGAATCATCCAACCCTAAAACCCGTCCCTGCTTTCATATGTACTATTACACCATCCGGATCAAGTATCCATTTTTGGAACCCTCCATCCGCAAAGGGCCGATATATGTATCCTATAGATTGGCTTAGCTATGCCAAGCTGCTGCCAAAAATGGCCTGGTTGACGGAGGTTGACGACAGCACGGCGCAGCACAATTAGCATAATTAATCATCACGACAAAAGCCATAATCCACCCGTAACGTAATAGCGCCATGATTTGCTTTAGTGCAGGGCGATTCTTTATTAAGCCCTGCGTGGCCACAACTGGCCCCTCGCCGTCCAATAAAATCCTCGATGCGTGCCGTGCACGACGCCTCAAAGCACACGGGCGTCGTATACTATTACCCTCTCCGTAAACATCCCACATCTCACGGCCTGCCGTACGAGAGTACGGCGAGCGTAACGGCATACAGCACGCTGACCAGCACCAGCACCAGCACCGCCCCCCGCCAATTACATCGGCGAACTGATTGCTGTACAACTCATCAAAACTGGGATCTCGGTTGACGGCAACGCAACCCCAACCGCCATGTAACGGTCTGTCCCACGCAGACGCATCGACTGCTGAGAGGTATGGATCAAGAACAGCCACACTCATAGCTCCACCGGGGGGCCCATCCAAACCATTAGCCAGCCCCCTGTTATTTTGGCCCGAAGTTAAAGACACACATACACACACACAAGAAACATACACATACATACACACACACCTGCAGGCGGTTAAGGTGCACGTGTCTCAGGCTGCCTGCGTACCTGCAGGCCTGAGTGAGCAGTCGGTCCACGGGACACTCGTCCTACCTTCACCGCCACGGAAAACGCCGCCCGTACAACCATACGTAAAAGGGGGTGATCGCACAGGCGGTGATCGCACTTCCGTTCCGCGGGCATGGATCAATAGGCAGGGCTGTCTGCCATGGTCTGCGGTTTATTTGGCTTGCTGCGTTTTTGTGGTTCATAAAGTTGGAGGTGGCTTATAAGCGGTGGTTTGTAATTAATTAGCAAGGTAGTTCGCAGCTGTGTCAGATGGGAGATCTGGGACAGTTTGTCGCCCTTGTAAACCTCTCTAGCAGGGCCGCGGAAAGGAAGGAAAAGTTACCGCGCTGTCCCACGTTCCGCTATTGGTCCACGAACTTAGGCGCCAGGTAATCGTATGCTTCAAATAGGCCTCGCTGATATGTAGAGATATGGCGAGATGTTAGAATTATAAAATAGGGGTCCGGGTGGAAAGGGACCAACCGAGACGTTCCCGCGCAGCTCACCTCGCCGAAGCTTGCAGGCTGATCCTATTTGTGCAAAAAAGGTGTATGATGCAACCTCGTACGTTTTACCTGTTTCTGCCAGCGCGATGGCTGTTTCGGCCATCAGGACAGGTCTCGGACTCGAAACGAAGCTCTTTTCCGACGACTCCTGGTCCGGACATTTCCTTTGGCTTCCACTACCTCTGTCCACGGACGGAAAGCCCTCCGGAAAATAATCCACGCAAGAATAGTAGAGCCGCAAGCGCCAACCCGCACCTAGCACATTCCAGCATTGCGGCCAGCCCGAAAATCCCTTTCCTTCCACTGCCTTCGCCTCAGCCTCTCAATCTCTTTTATATAAGCTGTCGAACAGCAACAACCCGCGTCAATTCTTCAACATGCCCCCCCCTGATGCTTAAAGGAACTTTTAAAGTTAGATGAAAGTTTCCTTTTTCCGAACTCCCTCCACATTTACGAAATCACATATTTATGGACACGCGCCCGCGCAGCGGCAATCATGCAAACCAACATAAATGCGTACTTAAATTTGCTGTATGAATCGCAAAACCCCCAACAAGGAGTCCTCGCCCTTCCCGTCCCGCGCTGCCCCAGCTCCCATCCCTTCCCCCTCCTGCCTCTTCCACGCGCTATCTACCTGGACATCCAACCCAACCCCCCTCCGCGCCTTTGACGTTACTTCACGTGGTGCCCATTCACGCCAGCCGCCGCCGCCGCCGCAGCAGCAGCAGCACCCGCCGGCACAATCCCATCCGCACCTTCCCCCTGCTGCCCTTGTTGCCCAGCAGGGCCCCTCCCCGTCCCCGTCCCCGTCCCCGTCCCTATCTCTGCCGCCGTCTGGCCCCCAGGCGGCCCTCCTGCCCCCCCAGCAGAGCTGGCTGTGGTGATGGTGGCCGTGGTAACGGTGGTGATGGTGGGTCCTTCCGGACTGAGGAAAGGCTCCTGCTCGGGTTCCATGGGCAGTGAAAGCAGCTTGGCGCCAGCCAGTGAGGCAATGAGGATGGCGGGGAGGTGCAGGCCGTACAGCACCAAACCCACCCATGGCATGGCCATGTACCTGAACGTGATCGTGATGATCACGAGTGGCGGTGAGGGGACAGGAGGGGAGGGCGAGCAAGGGAGGGTCGGGAAGGGGGGGAAACCTACTTTCATCTCCTCACGCAAATACACACACGCACGCCGCCGACCCCCACCGCCCTTCTTTCCCTCCGGCAATTGTACCCTAAACCCGTTCATGACTTACCCACCCACCCGCCCACCGACCCAATAACCGGAACTTATCCAAGTCAGGATCCATCGGTCTTCTCCTAATGCCCTCCATTCCCTTGAAAACCCCACATACATACATACAAACATAAATATATACATAGCCACCTTTCGGACCTCCATCCTTACTTTTCTGTTAGGCCCCCGACCCCCACCTTCGACCTGCGCATACAATCCCCCATCCCCATCCCCCCGCCTACCTCAGGCTGGTGTACTTGGCCATGGCCGCCACCATCACGGGTCCGAACATGCACGCCCCCCCCGCCACCGCCCCGAATACCCCGTTGATAAACCCTGTCACGGGCACGTAGCGCTCCAGGAGAGCCACCGCGTTGGCGTAACCGGTTGAGTTACCCAGACCTGTACGACATAAAATCCCGTGGGGAGAGGGAGGGGGGGAAGCGGGGGTTCGATCCAATGGGAAGGCAAAGGATTCCCCGGGGGGCCGAGGTTGGGAAGGGGATGACAGGTGTGCGGAAGGATTGGGGGGGGGGATCACATGCAGCCAAGTCAAGGAGGGAAAGCAACTGCCGATGTCCCAAATTGCAAACTGCTGTAGGGCTCCAAAGCAGGGTGAGGGAGGGAGGGAGGGGAACGACGAAGCACAGACGATTGACGAGAAGAAAATATGCCGTGGACGGATACCCCAAGATCAGGCCAATAAAAAGGGAGGAAGGGAGGGAGGGGAAGAGGGGATGATGACGGGTACATGGGGGGTGTGTGAGTTAGCGTGTTTTTAAAGCCAGAAGTGTGGCAGTTTCCCTCCACTCCCTCCTGTCATCGTCCCCGCCCTCCTCACCCACGCCTTCTCCTTCTACCACCCACCCACATCTCCCCACATCTCCACCCACCCGTCAACACCGCCATGGCCATTATCACACTCTGTGACAGCCGCTCTCGGCCGCCCACCAGCGGCAGCAGACAGCCCAGGATGGAGAAGGGCACGGAGCCCAGAAGCAAAACCAGGGGACTGGTGGCGTGGGAGATGGCGGCCTGGGGGCAAGAGGTTGTGTGTATGTGTGTTAAAATCTGATGGTGTGTGTATGTATGTATGTATGTTATGTACGGGGGACACTAGGTGCAAGCGGGGAGAGGGTTGTGGGGCGAGGGGCGGAAATCGAAACATTGGAGCACGTTGGCGTTACGTGCGGAGGCCGGGGGAAGGTAGGGGGGAGGGCTGCGGAACGTCGGGTTTAAGACGCGAGTACGACAAACCCCGTGGCCCATGGCCGGGTGCTGGGAGGGCTCTCGACGGTGAGCCGGGAAAGGCTGTTCGTACTCGGAGCAAAGATTGCAGATGGGCGCGAGGGAGAGAGAGAGAGAGAGAGAGAGAGAGAGAGACAGCGAGAGGTGCTCACCTACCCCGAACAGCCGAAGCCCCTACACCCCCTACAACTCCCCTATCACCCCTCCTACCACACCCACACCCCCAACCCTGTCTACATCTCGCAGCCTGCCCGCAGCAATCCAGCTCCCCCATTACCCGAGCCCTCCCGAACCTCCACCCACTCACCCCGATCACACGACCCGCCGTGAACGCCCCCCAAAAGGCGCTGTTAGCCAGCGCCGCATTGGCGTCCGTGGAGTGGACCTCCCGCAGGGAGAAGGTGAACAGCCAGTTGCCGATGGCCGTCTCGGCGGCAGTGGTGAAGAACACGAGGGGGGATCCACCACAGCCGTGGTGGTGACTAGCTCCAGA